CCTGGCCTACACCCCGTGTCATGGCAAGACCTTCTGGTGTTACTCGTCAGGCCCATGTGTGGGGTGACTGGGGCAATAGTTCCCCGAGTGACGGCCAGGCCTAGTCCCAACATGCCACCCTCCCATCCTCAAGCTTCAGAATCAGAAATTGGGAATGGAGCCCTCTGGCCTATTCTGGTGAGTCCAAGTGATTGAGGCGGGCACTAAAGTTTGAGAGCCCGGCCTCAGTGAGTTCAGGAACTGAGGCTATGGGACAGCCAGCAGGGAGAGCGGCCTGACATGGGCCACCAGTGTGCATGCGGGACGCGGGGGCAGGAATTGAGCTGTGCTCTGCCCATCTTAGGTGTACATGTACCAGCTCTTCCGGAGCTTGGCCTACATCCACTCCCAAGGCGTGTGTCACCGTGACATCAAGCCCCAGAATTTGCTTGTGGACCCCGACACTGCTGTCCTCAAGCTCTGCGACTTTGGCAGGTAGGTCTGATCTGGAGCCTGTGGTGCCTAAGAGGCGAGAGCCTCAGCCTTGGGTCCATGCTTAAACACGCCTGTCTTTTCCCACAGTGCAAAGCAGTTGGTTCGGGGGGAGCCCAATGTTTCCTACATCTGTTCTCGGTACTACCGTGCCCCAGAGCTCATCTTCGGAGCCACAGATTACACCTCATCCATTGGTCAGTTAGGGACGGGACGGGAACTGGGGACTGGCTGTCTTGGCGGGTGTTGAGCTCACGGGCAGTTACAGGCTTGGTGACTAAAGCTTACCGATTGTTCCTGCCATGGTCCTCACAGATGAGGAGACTGGCTGCCATGCAGCTGCCTGCCAGGGGCTCAACAGCTGGCCAGGGCAGGGTTGAGACTGACCAACTTGACTCTAGAGCCCACCTCCACTCTAGAACCTCCCAGTGAGCCTGCTCTGTGGGAGGGGAGGGTGTGCTGCGCCCAGGGCCTCTCTGTTCCCGAGGGAAGGCTGAAATGAGAGCATGAATGAGGGTTAGAGGGGCGGGTGTGGTCTTTAATGTGAGCACTGCAGGGAGAGTGAGCAGGCCAGGCCCCTGGGTCAGATAGCTAGGCCAGCATCGAAGCTTTCTTGTAGCCCAGGGCATGCAGGTACCAGCTGGCAGGCTCAGGCCCTGTGTTGGCCTAGCCGAGAAGGGTTCAAAGGGTTCATTGGGGTCACTCACGGAAGGCATGAGCCGTTAGCACAGCTGAGTGGGGAGGGCCTGGAGGTTCAGGGTCAGGCTCGTGATCCCCCACTGCATGCGGTCCTGGGCCAGCACTTCAGGAGACAGCCATGAGGGACAAGTGTGTGAAGGAGAGGGTTTGGTGGCTTTGGCTGCCTAGTGTTGACCTCTACCTTTCCCCTTCAGATGTGTGGTCAGCTGGCTGTGTCCTGGCTGAGCTGCTTCTCGGCCAGCCCATCTTCCCTGGGGACAGCGGGGTGGACCAGCTTGTGGAGATCATCAAGGTGAAGGCAGGGGCAAGGCCAGGGAGGGCCGGGTGGGACCAAGGGAAGGGCCCTCATCTCAGACCCCTCCCTTCCCTTTACAGGTACTGGGAACGCCAACTCGGGAACAGATCCGAGAGATGAACCCCAACTATACAGAGTTCAAGTTCCCACAGATCAAAGCTCACCCCTGGACGAAGGTAGGGTAGAACTAGGGATTGACACTTCATGGCTGAAATGGTGAGTTGTCTTGGAGGTCAACTTCTCTGGGGACCTGGCTTAAAAATCATGGCTTGTGGGGCTGGAGACAACTCAGTGCTGAAGAGCACTTACTTGTTACATGTGGGTTTGATTCCCAGCACCCACATGACAACTCACGACTACCTGTAAGCCTACAGGCATGCATGCATGCGGGCACAACATTCTAAAAAAAAAAAAAAAAACAGACCCAGAAATGAAATTACGGCTGTGGGGTGGGTGTCTGAAGTTAGGCAGGAGTCAGTCAACACCACTTTGAGATTGTGACGTTTATAGAACTTTAAAGTTGAGAACCCATAGGTAAATACAAGATATCCCTTTACGTAGTGGCAAGAAAACCGAGCTAGCCGCCCAGGTCAGTGTTCATGCCTGTTTCCTTGTTGGGGAGGGGAGTGTCAGGGAGGCAGTCGGCCAGGGGAGCCCACTATGAGGCACATCACACTGGTCCCACAGCACCCACAGGTTGACTCCACCTACAGGTGTTCAAATCCCGGACGCCACCTGAGGCCATTGCGCTCTGCTCGAGCCTGCTGGAGTACACTCCATCCTCAAGGCTCTCCCCACTAGAGGCCTGTGCCCACAGCTTCTTTGATGAACTGCGGTGTCTTGGAACCCAGCTCCCCAACAACCGCCCGCTTCCCCCCCTCTTCAACTTCAGTCCTGCCGGTGAGAGCACACTGGGGCCCGGAGAGTTGTGGGGGCCTTGGAGCTGAGAGGGCACAGGGCAGCCCTGGGCTCAGCCAGATGTTTCCCCATTGTGGCCGGGTACTAGGCCCTTTCCAGTTTTACTCATGAGAGTCCTGGCCTTGCCAGTAACTGGCTCTCCAAATGCCCTGCCTCTCCCTGACTGGGTATGTCCATCCCTGTGCCTAGAACTCTCCATCCAACCGTCTCTCAATGCCATTCTCATCCCTCCTCACCTGAGGTCCCCAGCAGGCCCTGCTGCCCTCACCTCGTCCTCACAAGGTAAGTGGAGTTCAAGCAGCCCCTGGTTGGGGCGCCCTTGGCTCCCACAGTTCCCTGCAGGGTTCATCTGTTGACATTTGATGGCACAGAAGGCATGTCTTACAGCGTGTCGGGATCAGCCTTATAGGGCAGTGTTGCCCACATTTGTTTAAACAGCAACTAGAAGACCAACAAATAAACAGAAAGTAGCCCACATTTAAAGATTGGGCCCTTTTGGGTAAAAGTCCAATTACTTATTTCTTTGGGGAAGAGAATTGGACTTGGCAGCTGTGGATCTGCTTTTCTCCTGACAGCAGTTGGAGCTCTGTCCAGCTGCCCATTTCTTCCACGGAGCCTGGCTCCCTGATGTGAGCCACTTTAGTGTCAAGCTGGCCCTTTGGCATCTGAGTTTGTAGCCCTGAACCTGAAGTGGCAGCCGTCAGCTTCTTGTGTAGTGTCTTGAAGCAAGCTCTGCTCTCATGGCTCGGGGGCAGGGATGATGCAAAGGCTGACTATGCACCCCTTCCTCCCCCCCTCCAGCTTTAACTGAGACTCAGACCGGCACAGACTGGCAGGCACCTGATGCCACACCTACCCTGGCTAACTCTTCTTGAGGGCCCCACCGACCACCCCTCCACATCCATCTGGGAACTCCCAAATGGGGCTGGGATGGGGGGCCATAGCCCATCAAGCTCCTGCCCTGGCTGGGCCTCTAGACTAGAGGGCAGAGGTAAATGAACTCCTACCCCCAACATCTGGCCCCTCCCTCACCAGCCTCACCTTTGTGGTGGGCTTTTTAAAGAGGATTTTAACTGGTTGTGTTGTGGGGAGGGAAGAGAAGGAAGGACAGGGGGGTTAGGGGTATGAGGACCTTCTGCCCCCTTGGTCCCCTCCCCCCCAGGCTACCACTCCTTCCCTCCCTCTCCTGTGTCCCTTGTAAATAGAACCAGCCCAGCCCACCTCCTCTTCCCTTCCCTGGCCCCTTGGGTGTAAATAGATTGTTATAATTTTTTTCTTAAAGAAAAACGTCGATTCACACCATCCAACCTGCCCCCCCCCCCGCTGTACCCCCTCCTGTCCTCTGCTCCTGAGGCTCCCACCCTCTCCCCATCCTGGAAGGAGGGAGTAGGGAGAGCCCCTGGTGTCTTAGTTTCCACAGTAAGGTTTGCCTGTGTACAGACCTCCATTCAATAAATTATTGGCATGAAACCCTTCTTCCTGTCTGGCTGCCTGTTTCCAGAGGTGAGAGGGTTCAGGGTTTGGAATAAGTTATCGCTCGGCTCGGGCAGGGGTCACTGAGGGTGGAAACCCACCACCACAGGTGTGGAGCCTGTCCAGGGACCAGTGGGTGATGAGTGACACTCTGCACTTGTCAGGACCTGAACAAGGGGTGTGTGCTGCAGGGCCCAGTGGGAGCCTGGGTGATGAGGGTCTCAGGATGATGTCTGCCTGCCTGCCTGCCTGCCTGTGTGCAGACTCAGTAAGTCCCCAGGACTCAACTCAGAAGCAGGGCGTCCATTTGCTTCACTGCTCTGGGATGTGAGAAGGTGGGGCAGAGCTTAGCTTTTCTTCCTCTCTCTTTCCAATGTAGCCAAAGGGCCTGGAGCTGGAGATGACTTTGCCTTAGGCTCCCAAGTGCCGGGATTACAGGCTTGTGCCACCTTGTCTGGCTCTTTCCCTTGACTTTTAAAATATGCTGCAGCCAGATGGTGGGGATCATGGGCAGAAGGAAATGGTATCTCCACATGGTGCCAAGCAGTGAGTGGGTAGGAGGCTCCAGAAAGGGAGGGTGCGACTTTGGGTCCTCCTGATGCCCAGAAAGGAATTTGGAACACATTCTTGAGGAATTCTAAGATTCTGGGCTGTTGGATGCTTCCATCAGCCACTGCAGTACTTGTCTACCCTGCAGGACAGATGTTATCCTTTTGCTCAAACCATTTACAAAGCAGGGTGAGAACGCTGGTTTGGGTTAAGGGACGGACCTGCTGGTTGACTATGTCACAGACGTTGTCTTACCCAGCTGACCCCGAGGTCTCTACTCAATTCTGCTCCTCCTCGCCCGGACCACTGCCAGCCTCCCATTCTCCTTGGTCTGATCCAGAAATACATGCCACTCTCCCTGTGACAGCCTTCAACAACTCACCCCAATTTCCAAAGCTTATCTCCTAGACAGCACCCAGCCCCAGCAGCATTCTGCCCTGCCCCACTGGTCCCCAGTACTCACTCACCTGTGTCTGCTTAGGGAGCGGGAGGACACCCAGTGAAAACAATCTCTCCCTGTTTCCAAGACCCGCTCAAATCCCAAATGCTCCGTGACATCCTCCAATGAGAATATATCCCGACATCAGCTGCTGCCTGGGTTTCAGGTCTTACTCAGAACAATACAGATGGATCTAAAAACTGCATTCAAACCTCACCACCTCTACCCAGCCTGAGACCGGGGCAATTCTCTGCCGTTTCCTTACTTGTTTGTACAAGAGGGAAGATAGGCAGGTCCATCTCAGGCCTGACGGACAGTGCTAAGTGTCCTTCTGGGGCTGGCTGTTCACTGCAATTATAATGGGACGCCTGTCTGAAATGTTCTCTCCGCTGCAGAGCCCCACTTTTACGTGAGGAAATGGTGCCGCTGGCAGTCTCCCACTCTTGATCACTTCCCATGGAGCCTTGCTCCCTGATCTCAGGTCCCACTGTCCCTACACTCCCCCATCACAACCCAGGAACCCTCAGGCCTCACTGGCCTTTGGCCCAGAGCACCACGGCACATCTGGGGGAAGTCGTGGACACACAGGCTGAATGAACCAGTGGCGGGCAGCACTCAGGCAAGCTGTCTGCACTCCAGGCTTGTTCCTGCTGGGCCAAACATGCCTGAGTCTAGAGCTGTGTCTGGTTCATTCCTGGCTCTTCAACATCACCCGGTCTGAGCTGAGCACTGGGGGTACCTACGGATTTCTTTCCATACTGTCAAAACTGAGAAGCCAGCCCAGAGAAACCATGTGCCTTCCTGCACTCAGCAGAGCTAAGTCCCAGGCACCCAAAGTCCAGGGGAGTGGGGGGTGGGGGGGCACAAGCAGACGATCTGAAGAGGTATATGAGAGTATGTGGCACAGGCCTGGCATACGGGTGGTGCTCATAAAGGTTACCTGATGTTGCTGAGCACTGGGTGATGCTTTGCAAAGAGCCTTGGCAGACCCCTTCCTTTATGCAGTGCAGCAGCAGGGGCTCAGACAGAACCCATCACTTCACAGAACTTCACTTGCACCCTGGGCAGAGAAAAGGTCACAGGAGAGCAGGGTTACCCTTACTCTGAGGAGTCAGCAGTTACAAGAGGCCAGCGGGTGGATCCTGAAACGTGGGTGCCAGGTTAGCTCACCACTGGGGTCCTCTTCTCCGAGGTGTCTACACTCAAATCTTGTGACGGAACCCTCTGGTCATTGCTCTTGGACTCTGTCACACAAAGGCTGTGTCCAACTGCAACAATCCACTGGCTTCGCTGGCCCCCAGGGCTGCCTGGCATAGCTGGAGTGTGTCCTCCAGCGCCAGCGGCTGGGATGTCTCAATGATGGCGATGGTCTCCCCAAGCTCTGTGCACATGATAGTCTGCTGAGGCTCAGGGGGCGGAGGTGGGACCGGAGAGGGTGACCTGGGAGGCTGCAGCGTCAAAGCCCTGGCTCGGGCATGGACCCGCTGATGAAGGCGGAGGCCAGCCATGGCGCGGAACCAGCGGCCGCAGGTTCCGCAATAGTAGGGACTCTTGTTGTAGAGACCAGTGATGGGAAGACGAGGGGCGCGCGCAAAGGCCACCGGCCGTAGGTGTAGCCGCCGGTGCTGCTGCAGGTTGGAGCTCTGTGTGAAGCGCTTGCCACAGTCCAGACATTGGTAGGGACGCACGCCCGTGTGGGTCAGCTGGTGGCGGCTGAGGTTGGCCAAAGAAGCAAAGGTCTTGCCACAGGAGTGACACTGGAAGGGTCTCTCGCCTGTGTGTGTCCGCAGGTGGTTGCGCACATGAACCAACTTCTTGAAGCCCTTGCCACAAACCCCGCACCGGTGCCGGCGCTCAGGGGGGCCATGCACTGCACGCCGGTGCCTGGAAAGCCGGGAGGCTGAGGCGAAGGACTTGGGGCACTGCGGACAGGGCAGCTGGACGGGTAGGGCTGGGGGTGGGGGTGGGGGCTCAGCCGGAGCTGGGGAGACCGTTGCTAGCGTGCTGGGGGTCCCACTTTTCCCAGCGTGAGTTCGCCGGTGGTAGAGGAACTTGGTCATGTTGCTGAAGGTCTTACCACAGCGACAGCGGTGCAACGGGTTGGCAGTATGGGCTCGCCGATGGGCCACCAGCGTCAGCTCGGTGCCAAAGCCGCGGCCACAGTCCACACAGAGGTAGCGGGCTTCCCCACGGTGTAGCCGCTGGTGCTGCTCCAGAGAGGCCGCCTTCTTGAAGACCTTGGAGCAGGCGGGACACTCGTGGGTACCACCCACGTGGGCCCGTCCGTGAGCCATCAGCCGGTTGGCAGAGCTAAAGCTGCGCTGACACTGGCTGCAGTGAAAGGGGAGCGTGGCAGATGCTGGGTCACGAGATGCCCGCCGGTGTCGGCGGCGTGCACCCGAAGAGGCACAGTGCTGGGCGCAATCCCCGCAGCCCTGAGCAGGACCAGCTGTGGACTGGCCACCTCCCAAATCATCAGAGGGGAGCTCTGCAGCTGCTTCCTCCTCGTCTGTGTCCTCCTCCTCCTCCTCCTCCTCTAAGCCATTGCGCTCTTCTTTCTCCAGGGAGTCAAAGTGGGTGCCCTGATGCTCCAAGAACTCTTCAGGGGTGGCACAGAGGGTGGAACACTCAGGACACTCATAGGGCTCCATCTGCACTTCCGGTGGTGGTGGTGGTGTTGGCGGCGGCAAAGGAGGGGGCGCGGGTGGCTCTTCCGCCGTACTGGGAAGGTGCTGAGTCTTTCGATGAGCTACCCACAGCTCGGGTGAGGGGAAGAGCTCCTGGCAGTCTCCACACTGGTACTGGATCTGGCTTGCAGACTCCTGCAAGTGGGCATCCTGGTGTGCCAGAAGCTCACTGGGCGACAGGATGAGCTGACTGCACTCAGCACACTGGAAAGGGCCCTCAGTGCCGCGCACTAGCTCAGGCTCCAGGTCCGTGTCCTGGGAGGCCAGCGCCTCCTCCTCGGACGAGGTGGGCAGGTGCTGTTCCTGGTGGGAGAGGACTTCCTCCAGGGTGTTGTAGAGGCTGCCACACTCAGAGCACATGAACTGGTGGTGCTGGAAGAAGAGGGAGGAGGCAAGCGCCTCCCCAGGGCTCATCTCCGTCACCGCTGCTGCCATCTCTGCCAGCTCTCCGGACACAGGAGCTGCAATTTCCATTGCTCCGGGTGACTGTGTGGGCACCTCAGCTGCCTCTGCCACCATCTCTGCCATTATGGGGAAGCCAGTGCCTGGAGAAAGAGGGGCGGGAGCCAGTGTTAATGCTAGGCACCCAAGGGGAGTGGAAGCCTGCAGAGTTCCCTTGCTCATTCCATCACTCACCAGGCTGTCAATCAAGTCTTACTCAACCTGTCACACAGCCATTACAGTCAGTTATCTGCAAGAGAGAGTGGGGACTCTGGAGCCTGGCCTCTGATGCTGGACCCCTCCCATGAGCCCCCCCATCTCTGATCGCTCAACCTTTGCCCTTTGTGTACAACCTTTCCCCCTCTAGTACACTCACACAGCAAAGCACTTAAGAGAAGAATGGACCCCAGACCTCTCTCAGCGACAATCTCTGGCCCTCCCTGCCTTTTGTTTTTGAGACAGGGTTTGTTGGAGCCTGTTCTCGAACTCACTCTGCAGACCAGTCTGGCCATGAGCTCACAGAGATCCACCTGTCTCTGTTTCCCAAGTGCTGGGACTAAAGGCGTGTACCACCACTGCCTGGCTTTTTTTTTCTTCTTCTTCTTTTATATTTTTTTCATATTTTACATATCAATCCCAGTTCCCTCTCCCTTCCATCCTCCCATGTCCTCCCTGACTCCCCCCATCCCCTCTCCCCCACTCCCCAGGGAGGGTGAGGCCTTCCAGGAGGGATCATCAAAATCTGTCAGGTTATTTAAGGCCTAGGCCCTCCCCCATGTCTCTAGGCTAAGGGAGAATCCCTCCACGGGGAATGTGCTCCCAACGTCCTTTCATGCACTGGGGATACATCCTGGTTCCACTGTCAGAGATCCCTTAGACTGCCCAGGCCTTCTAACTGAGACTCACATTCAGGGGATCTGGGTCAGTCCTATGCTGATTCCCCAGCTGTCAGTCTGGGGTCCATGAGCGGCCCCTGTTCAGGTCAGCTGTCTCACTGCCTGGCTCTTAAGCTCTCCCTTTTACTTGCTCTCTCTCAAGACAGTTTTCTCACCTGTAAAACGGAATTAAAAGCTGGACTGACCACAAGACTAAGGTATTTCATTAAAAGAAGTCAATACCTGGGCTTGTAAACAACCCGGGCTGGCCTCAAACTTGATGTGCCACAGAGGATGGCTCTGAAGTGACCCTTCTGCCTCAGCTTCCTCAGCGCTTGGGGCCACAGGTGTGCACCATCACACTTCGCAGTTGGGATACAAAACTCTCAAATCCCGTGGATGGTGGTGGCGCATGCCTTTAATCCCAGCACTCAGGAGGCAGAGGCAGGCGGATCTGTGAATTCAAAGCCAGCCTGGTCTACAGAACAAGTTCTAGGACAGCCAGAGCTACACAGAGAAACCCTGACCCTCCCCCTACCTACAAAAACCAAACCAAAAAAAACCCTCTCAAATCTTCCACTCCATGTCCTACCTGCTCTGCTCTTTGTGTGGTCTCATTCCAACCCCTTTCATACAACAGGGGCTCACAATCCATTCCATGAACCTGGGAACTAGCCTTATGACCCAACCCCCATCTTTTTAAGGACATTTTATTTTTTATTACACCTCTTTATTAGGCAAGGGCGCACACACACAGATGACAACTTGCTGGATTTGGTTTTCCTTATATCACCAAGGTTCTGGGATCAAACTCAGGTCATCATCTTAGTGCCAATTGCTTTTACCCACTAATTTATCTTTAGCGTCCCCCCCCCCCACATTTCTTCTCCTGTTACTGCATGCCTGTATGCATGCGTACATGTCACAGCATACATGTGGAGGTCAGGGGATAACTCTGTGACCTTCACTCTCTCCTACCACACTTATATGGGTCCCAGAGGATTGAACTTGGGTCATCAGGGTTGCGTGGTACGAACCTTTTCCTGCTGGGCCATCTTTGCGGTCCCTGATTTCGGTTTTTGTTTTTGAAACGGGCTTCTATGTACCTAGGCTGGCCTTGACCTTAGCACACACACAGCAAAGTCTGATCCTCAGTCTTGATTACTCTGCCTCCGGCAGAGCCAATCGGCACCTTCTTTACCGATTTGCTTCTTTTTGTGCCAGGAGCAGGCAGACTTTAGCTTGTAGCCCTGGTGCAGAAGCTGCTCGTGGACAGATCCCAGAGGGCAGGAATTTTAATTCCTTTATCACTGAGGCGCTCCCAATGCCAAGGAACACGGCACATAGTAGGTACACAGAAGTATGCAGGGACTAGCCAGGCCTGGTGGCGCATACCTTTAATCCCAGCACTCGGGAGGCAGGGGCAGGTGGATCTCTGTGAGTTCGAGACCAGCCTGGTTTACAGAGCGAGTTCCAGGACAAGTCCCAAAGCTACACAGAGAAACCCTGTCTCGAAAAGGAAAATATTCAATGAGGGAGGAGGCTCCCCGTAGGGAGCGAGACCGTGGGACTTTCACTAGCCCAGGGCACACTACTCTTCTACCTCTCAGCTCTTCCATTCTATGCCTTCCCATGACACACAGCCCAGCACGACGCCCTGCTCTTAGCTGATGCCCAATAAATGCTCCTTGAAGAAATGATTTGCTAAATGTTCAGGAGCTAAACATCACCCACCAATCCAAATCCCTTGTTAAGGGGGTTTTGTTTGCTGACATCTAGCCCTGGCCGGTCTAGAACTCACTAAGCAGAGCAGGCCGTCCTCAGACTCATGGAAATCTACCTACTTCTACCTCCCCAGGGCTGGCAAAAGGCATGAGCCATTCCATAGAGGATTTTCCTAGAAACAGTCAAACCGGTGTGGGGGTGAGGGTGGGGGTGTGGCAGGAGAGGGTGGAGGGCTGCATTCTTCCTTATTACATCTGCACTGGCAAGACAGAAATAACCCCGGGGGTCGGACCAGAACATGCGACTTGGCTTGTACCAGGAAAGCAGTAGATGGACAAACTTCCACCAAGTGCTCACCGAATCTCATCTAACAGACAAGATCCTTCCAAAACTGATTTACCAACACGGGCACAATCCAGGTAACCTGAAACCGGCACTTTGTCGCCTGCGCTCCTTTCCCCCCGATCCCACACGGTGTCAGGGCACGGTAGGTGGAATTTAGCTTTAACCTCTGGACACCGAAAGTAGATCTGTCCGAGCAGCTCCACCAGGGGCCGGAAAGTTCAACTTTGCCGCTACACCGCCGCTTTTTTCCTCCCACCAGACTCCCCCGCTCGGCAGCACCAGGGCCCCCTGCAGGGGTGGGGTGTGCTAGGAGCTCAGGGCTGGGTCCTGCACACACCAGGCTCCACCGACGCCTCCGGGGCACACAGGAAGGAGCCGTCGACCATCCCGCGCTACTCCGGCCCTAAGCGCAGGCCCCAAGGCTCTCCGACCCTCCGTGTGCCCTTCCTTCTCCCTCCACTCTCTCCCTGCACCCAGCGCTCTCCTCCCCGCCCGCCCCGGGGCGCCCTCACCCACCGATCTCACCTCCAAGCAGCCCCTGCCGCTCTTGACACGGACCCTCCGCACCGGGCGTGTGGGACCCCTCACTATCCACGCCTCCCATTGGGCGGCGCCCTCACCCGAGGCAGCCAATCAGAGCTGGTAGCGCACGGCACGCGCCCTCGCGCCTGCGCGTTGGTCCCCAGGCGGGGCTGGGAGAGTTTCTCCACGCAGACCTCAGCGCCCGGTGGGCGGTGTCCGGGCCCGGGAGAGGCGCCTGCGCAGTTCTCCCGGGCCGCTCCTTTCCGGCTGTTTGAAAATTCAGCGCAGGGAAGTGGGCATCCTTAGAGAGAGAGGAGATCTCACAAGTGGACGGGGCTACGCGAGGCTTGGACAGGTGGCATCTCTTAGCGGGAGAGACTGAGCTAGCTGCTCTGAAGCATAGCTTCAAAGCCAGACACACTTGAAGTACTTTTCCTGGGCCGCCTGTGTAAAGCGGGCTTGAATCACATCCGCCTGGAAGGCTGGTGGAGGCATTGGAATGTTATCATGCAGGTTAAAAAAACAAAAACAAAGAACGATCAGCTCAGGGCTTGCTACACTGTGGGTACCCAGTGTAGCCCACTTTACGTAGAAGCCTCCCCGTTTATAAGTGGCTTTCCCTTCCTCGCATTCTTCGTCTGACTCCATGACATTCACACCGAGAGCACACACAGCGGACTATGTTTCCACTGCCGTCTGTTTTCAGAGGTGGAAAAGCTAAGGCCTAGAGAAAGGAAACAGCCACTATGGAGCCAGCGCCTCCCGCCCAGGTCTCCCGCCTCTCAGGGAGATAATTCCGGGGGTGGAAACCAGTCCGAGAAGAGACCTGTCTCAGGCACGTGCTGGCCCTGACCTTGAGTCACCTAAGTGGGCAGGAGGAGCAGCCATCACACCCAAGGCCCCGCATAGGGGACGCAAAGACACCGTCGCCTCCACTTCCCTGACAGCCTTGCAGGTTAGGTTAGGGGAGCTTCTGAGTGTCTGTGAGGCGCAAGAGGGCAGAGAGGAGGCTGTGTAGGAGGGCGGATCTAACCCTGGGTGTGGGGGTCTGGAACTGGAGGTCCTGATGGACGTCCTCGAGACGTGCACACTGGGGTGAGGGGTCGATTGCGTTTTGGGAAGGGGTATTCTTCTCGTGCATGGTACTGGAGGATTTATACATTGGGGCCGGGGAGCTGGATGAGGGAGGGTTTCAAGACAAGATCTGAGACTGCGGAGTTGAGATGTAGATTCCTGGATGCCACCTAAGAATTGGGGGGCGGGGGTACTTTAATACAAGTCCGGATTATGAACTCTGCGAGCTTCTGACCGTCGTGACTGTTGTACTTTGCGCCGGCAGCTGGTGACGTTGATCACGTGGGCGTCTAGGTCGTGATCTGGAGGGGTTTGTAGTCTGTGGGGTGAATAATCCCAACAGGTCACGTCGTGGGACCCGAGGGACACACACCGCGACTTAAATCACGAAGCCGTGCTACCGCGCAAGCGCGCCTCAGCTGGGGACGCTCCGGTTCGGGGGCGGATCAGGCGGCCTGGAGGGGTGGAGCTTGGAGGCCTCATTCTGCGCTTGCGCCGTAGGGGCGTGGCGGTCGCACCTGCTCGAGTTGGGCGGAGGAGGAGGAG